CGCCTCCTGTGTTTGCAGCACGACGGTGGCTCGGGGAAGGTAAATGTCGTGAAGGGTGATTCATTCATTAAGGCTGGACAACGTGCATAAATCATTCACTGTGGAAATTTACCAAAGGGTATAAATTTAAAAGAATGAACTTTGTGATGATTATCAGACCGCAGAGTAAAGGGTTCATTAGAAGCAATGATAAGTAGGGTTGCCAGACCATAGTCATCGCATGTTTTTACTGTACAGTTACAATGAACATCGCTTGTCTACTATTTTAAGAGTCGCTGCTTGGCGGACGACGAAGAAATGCCCCTGTCGAGCAAGCGAGTACCTGGCGTAGGCGAAGGGCACAACCCACCTGACGAAGGATCCACAGCGCAGGAAGACAAGACTGCCTCTCATCCTAACAGTTGTGCGCTGAATAACACATTGGAAGGTGATAGTTGCCAGGACACACGGGAGAAATCTGAGGCGACGACTGGAAAACTGTGTGTGGGCGGGTTCGGACGCGGCAAGTTAAGAGCCTCGGTGAGTCGGCTTCGCTGGTGGAACCGAATCATGCCGGATATTGGGAAGGCGGTCGAGTGTGCAGGGCGGGCGCAGGGGATTCCGGACTGGGTGATGAATGAGGACTGGGCTGTGGTAGGTGATGCTTCCTTTCAGCCCCATTCATTGCAGGAAGTGTGCTCATCATACCCTCGCTACGTCCTCTTACAACCAGCCGGGACATACAGCCATTCCCAATCGCTTTGTCACGCTTTGGCGGGGACGCTGGTATCTACAGACGATTTATCGGCAATTAACACAACTTCACTGCAATTCAGCAACATCTGTGCAGACTCAGGTGAGCCTTTGACTTGGCTCAATGTGAAGAACGGGACGAGAGTGGAGATCACGCCCGGAGACGAGTGTCCTGCCTGGGACTCGAGCGGAGAAAAATTGGTGGCTTGCGTCCGGCGTCTGCAATGCTCCATTTGCAAGTCGTCGCCTACATCCATGTATACGTTGTACGGCCACACCGGGCGTTTTTTCGATTACACATATTACACTGACTCTAATTTATCGGTCCCCATATTCCAAAGTAAAGGAAGCTCTCAAATCAAGCTTGAGGATTCGATATGGGTGCTGAGGTCGAACTTGCATCGTGTCGAGTGGAGGCTGGAGGGCGCAGCGCTCCCGATCGGCCGACGGCGGTGGAGGGCGGGGAGCCAGGAGGTCCTCCTCACGCTAACGAAATGCCTCACCACCCAGTTCACCTGCGACGATGGGCAGTGTATCTCCCAGATCTTACGCTGTGACGACATTTTGCACTGCCGCGACATGTCTGACGAAGTAAACTGCCGTGTAGTGGAAAAGCCATCTCGCTACGATGTCTCTTCTCCTCCGCCACTCCGGCCTTGGGAGAACGGCACTGTACCCTTGGCTTACCATATTGATGTCTATCACCTGAGTGACATCACGGCCATCAACGCGACGGCTTCAATGGATGTAGGAATCACCCTGACCTGGTACGACCCGAGACTGAAATTTCGCAATCTTAAACCCGACATAAAGAACTATTTTCCGTGCGAGTTGGTCTGGACTCCGGCTGTACAGGCAGTGACGGGCCACGGCGATGGCACCGTTCTAGACACCAATGATTACGAAAAGTTCTGTTATGCCTACAATAACGATGCCACAGAGAAGCGGCCCCTTGCTGATCCGTATATGGGTGAGTAAAAATATTGTTATTGGTATGCTGACTGACATCATAGAAGTAATCAAGTACCTTTCGTTGACCTTACGTTTTTTGCAAAGATATATCAAATTAAAAAAGGAAAAAATCATCGCAATTTGAATTAGAATGTCTCCAGACGCCAAAAGTAAGATTAACAAAACTCACAGGCCACGTAGCAGATGGAATGAATACTGCCGTCGAAGTATACCTTGGCGTGTTAGCTACAGTGCCCTGTCAGTTTCGGTTACAGCTGTATCCCTTCGACACTCAGCTGTGCAACCTGTCCTTCATTCTGACCAACTCCCCGTGGTCCAGGGTGTTTGACAAGGCTCTTCCTGGTAACTACGTTCCTTACCTCAATGCTGTGAGTGTACCTTTCTTCTCAGACTGAAATAAGATGGGAAATGTGTGGCTGCATGTATGGAATTTCTTATTTTCCGCCCCCCCCCTCTCTCTCTCTATGGAAACTAGAATCACCAAATTATCATTATTTGCCTTTTAACCATACATACAAGAATGACAAGACAGTAGACGTTTAGGATTAGATATGTTTCAATCTCTTCATTCCCTTCATGTGCTGTCAAGTAGTAAATATTGATGCAATTACGAAATCATCATGATATATTTCCTAGGAAGCTGGATCTAGAGTTTGGTATTGCAAATCAACAGGAATATCAGACAAAATATGTGATACCTAGACTGCCGTGATACCCAGTCTGTTCTGAAATGCTGAACTTTCAGGCTATTTATGTACTCACCTATAGCGTAAATATGTTTTTAACCCTTTAGCTAGTTAGATTTGTAGTAGTAACTTCATAAAACCATGTTTACAAATAAGTTAGACACTAAGCAGAGCATTCCTTCACGAGGAGTCTTACACTGAACTAGTAAAATAAGTGTATGTTTAAGCGCCGTTGAAAAGAGGGGTATTTCCCGACGTGTAATAAACAACAAATACATATCTTACCTCTTCTCACCTCCTGCCAAAGCGTCGTTCTCTACTGGAGTACGTGTTGGAGGACCAGACGACGGAGGTAGGGTGGCTCATGCAAGCAGCCGACAACAATACCTACTTCGTGCTCTCCTACCACCTGCGACGCCTGTACGGGTACCACGTCATGAATAGTTACTTCCCCACTCTTCTTATGTTCGTGATTTCCTACGCTACTTTTTACTTCCAGGTTTGTGGTGGTGTATGATTAGGTCAGCCTTGCCTGTGTCATGGAGATGCATATTTATTGATACTGATCTGTCATGAAGTTTTAATATCTGTTATGATTCGTCACCTAGTGTCGTAACTCAGATCAGTGAAAATAGATACCACTGATTTTGCAAAGTTAATTTAAACAGCAAAATGTTAATTTAATCAGTAAATTGTTAATCCTATCTGAAATCTGTTTTGGAAAAGAGACATCTAATGCAAAGCAATGGTGTCAACCTATTCCGCTTCGTACACCAACAGCTCGACGATTTCACAAACCGGATCATGATTTCCCTAACGGCTCAGCTGGTGTTAGCGGCGCTCTTCAGCTCCACCACCCAATCCTCCGTCAAAACACCTTATCTCAAGCTCATCGATGTATGGTATGCCGTGATCATCACTTCCTGCTTCCTCATCATCGTGCTTCAGACGCTGATCAACGTCATTTTTCACAGCAACCGCCTCCCTGGTTTCGTTTACAAGATGGCGTGTTTGCCAGGCCCGCTGAGTGACATCAAGAAGGTAAGATCCTTTTATAATGTAAAAACGATATGTAGATGCAACTCTAAATGATATCGAAGAGATTTGGAATTATAGGTATTCGGTGATTACTGATTTTCTGTATGTTTAGTTTATCTCAAAAGTATATACTTGTCAATAACAATGTTAACTCTACTCCGTCCAACTTCAGGAAAGGAAAACTGGCAACTCATCTTGAACTGTTGATTACTCCGATTCGCTGTCTCTTTATTATTCTAATCAGCTGTTTAAAGTTAATACTTATATTTACATAGGTTTAGTATGTTTACAACTGATATGCAATATTTTTATTTCTTTTACACTATTCAATTATATTTCCTCGAAAATAATTAGGCGAATCGGGGTACTCCAGAATTCAGTGCGAGTTGCCAGGTACTCTTTTCTTAAGATCGAACGAACTATACTGAAAATCTGCGAATCACTTCCAGGTTGTTCCCCTGTTCACCAAAAGAAGCCAAGAGCTGACGCAGCGAGAGCCTGCAAGTAACACGGTGGCTCGTCGATACAACGCCATGGCTCGTGTGTTTACCTTGTCCCTCGTGTCTACCTTCGTCGTCCTGTATATCCTGCTGGCGCTTCGGGTTCTCTAGCCTGGCCTGTGAAGCAATCCGTTGATGCCTACTTTTTCATCTTGATAAAAAAAAAACGAAATCGGTAGTCTGCCTATATATGTACATAAAATAGTGGCAATAGCGTTTGGATGCTAAGTTTTTTGTGTATTTGATTATGTTATTTAGTCATGATAATCCTTGTTATAAGATCAGGGACTTTGATTTCAAATAAACCACTGTTGCCATTCTCATACCAAGAATTGCTGTATTTTTTCTCATATTTTTTCAGTACTTTCATATAAACAAGTTAGACATGGGTCAAGCAGTGCAGACGGAATTCTACATAAAATGCTGGTTATATAATCATGTTGCATGCACTTATGGGGGAAACGTAAGATTACTCATTAACACAAATGTATATACATGATTTGTGAATGTGTGTGTGTGGCTTTAAATAAAGCTATACGAAAATAGATATACATACATATGTATACATACTACACATATGCACTATATATATATATATATATATATATGATATGTATATATATATATATATATATACATATATATATATATATATATATATATATATATATATATATATATATATATATGTGCATGTATGTACGTATACACTAAAACTGCCATAAACACATACTGAAATACGAAGAAGAATAAGAGTGTGACCGAGGATGAAAAGATGAAATGAGAACAATCGCAGGTAGAGACTGGGATGCAATAACGGCTGCAGGCATTTTTGCAGACAGCCACACAAGGCATTTTTGTGTGCGGGTTCGCCCATATATAGCTGTCTAAGTAGATGTATAATGATTGATATTCATATATGGATAAAAAAACAAAAACATGTAGACAGATATACAAATAAAGATAATGATGAATAAACCCAATGTAGAATAAGTTTTAAACTAATAATATCGGACAAGCAACACAGGCATTAGCCAAGTTCGACTGTACATGATATATATCTATCTATCTA